GGTTTATACTGCAGCCAGCCAAGCCTCCAGGGGGCGATCAAGATGTTTTGGCTTCACTTCTGGGGAGCTGTCACGTTGACCATCTTTGATATATAAGTCTATGATTCAGCGCTAATGAAGAGCAACATGGTAGACTCCATAGAAGATGTCCTGTTCCCTATGTAAATATAAACAGCTCATTCTAAGGTAAAGAAAACTCAAAGATTATTATTATCAGCTAAATATAAACTAATGAAAACATAGTTATGAATATTATATATGACTTCTGCCAGTAGATTTCCCTAAATCCTACACACTGGACTTTTAGAGTTACATACAACATAAAGTCACATAGGTTAGGTATTGGAAAAGAAACATGGCTGGATGACAGTGCACCTTAATGTTTTGAAATGGTCATGGTTACTTTAGGTTTAGGCACCAAACTTTGTGAGGTTGTGGAAAAAATCATGGTATGGGTCAAAAGTATGTTTGTAAGTTAACTTACGTTACATACACAACTTAAGTACAATGTGTACATGTTGTGTGAATGAGTGAATGAATGAATGAATTATTAATTATTAATTAATTAATTTTTATTTCTGTCCTGTCCAAAGACCCATCCCTTATGGCATTATAAAACACCATAACAATTACTGACTGTATCACATTCACTTCCTATGGTTTGAAAGCTACACAGTGTAGACCAAAATAGATAAACAATTCCACATAGTGCCCACCTGGAAAACAGAATAAATACATCATCTATATGTACTTCTTGATCGTTTGTCCCAAGCTTTCTCTAAATATTCAGCAAGTGCAAATACCTTATAGTCAAAAATCCATTTTAGTCTCTCTACATCAGTCAACCACATCAAATCAATATTTTTACACCTATCAAATAACTTTTGGCGCAACTCATGATACAAGGGACAATAAAACACAAAATGGAACTCATTCTCAATGTCAATGTTACAATAAGTACAAATTCGTTCTTCTTCTGTGACTTCCCAGTAACGTCCAGTCTCAAGGTGCAGGGGCAAGATCCCAGAGTGGAGTTGGGTGCATAGTGATCTTTGTCTCTTAGACAATGGAGCATAAACATATTTTTCATTTCCATAAAAACTTTATATCATACAAAGAGTTCTTAATTTTGGTTTATATAGTATGTCCTGTGACCATTTACTCTGATATGTGTTAGACAAAACTTCCTTCTCCAAGGAGATGTTTACAGTATACATTTTGATAAAGGTCAGATGCTCCAATTTCTCTAAATATATCGTCCATCTCACTTGCCCATGCACCCTTTACAGTCACATCTCAGTTGAATATTTTCCTAGCAACTGGACTCTCTGGCATTTTTAGTAATCTGTTCCATAGAGCTAGCATGCTATCTTTCCATCTCACTTTGCATGGCTCCCATCCCATATCTCCAGTTATTGCCAAGGCAGGGGTGAATTTATGGACTCCTAGAAAATACCGTACTGCTCTATTCTGTACCATTTTCCCTTTCACTCTTACCTTTGAGCTCCACACCCCTGCCATATAGTCCATAACAGGTCAAACACATGTATGAAATAATTTCGAGTAGGTAACATATCCCAGTTCTCCCAGCTGTTTCTTTTTTGCTATTATACCACCAAGTGCCCTACTTGCAGATTCAGCCAAGACAGTTGTTCCATGTTCAAAGTTTAAATGTTCATCCAAAATAAAACCCAAGTATTTATAATTTGCAGCATACTCCAACTTTTGATCTCCAAGATAAAACTGAAAATTGCTCCTTCTAATCCCTGTATGTCTGAAATGCATGATCTGAGTTTTACTGTAATTAACTGTGAGTCTCTGCACATTCTAACATTTTTTGCAGATCTTTTTCATTTTCAGCTACCAGGATTATATCATCTGCATACAGTAACATGTCCAATTCATTACTACTGTCATAATTTAGACCCAGTCCTAAATATTTTATTTCCTTAGCTAAATTGTTAATAAATATAGCAAACAGAGTGGGAGAAAGACAATCGCCTTGCTTGACCCCAGATGGTGTAGGGAACCAGCCTGAGCAGTATTCATTAACTTTAACACAGGCCTGAGGGTCTTTGTATAATGACTGTATGGCCCAGTAGAATTTTCCTCCTATTCCTTCTTCAAGAAGACGATAGACTAGTAGGTCTCTGTTGACAAAATCAAAAGCTTTTTGGAAATCTATATAACAAGCAAATGATGGTTTGTTTTGCATTATCCTACTTCTAACTACAGCGGTAATAGAGTATACATGATCAATACAGAATCTAGCCTTTCTGAAACCATTCTGCTCTTCCACTAAACAATTATTTTCTTCCAGATAGGCCATGAGCCTGTTGTTAAGGATGGAGGTATACAATTTATATGCAGTACTCAATAGACTAATGCCACAGTAATTTGAAGGTATCCTAGGGTCATTTTTCAAAGATTTCGGTATTGGGCTAACAATAGATTTGTACCATATTGAAGGAATAGTCCCATTTTCAATACAAAAATTCAATAAAAACATAGAAGAGCTTTGTAAACAAGGGACATTTCAGTATTTCATTTGTCAGTTCATCAAATCCTGAAGCTTTTCCAACTTTCAGGGTAGCAATAGCTTTCTTCACTTCCTCAACATTAATAGCTTTATTAAGAGCATTTTCATGAGTGATGGTATGAGGCAGTTGGTTCTCTAGCTGGAATTTGAGATGACAAATTGCGTCCAAGAAGGCTGAAACAAAACAATCACTCTTGATTCCCTGAAAACAAGTATGCAAAACACTTTTCCCATTCATGTAATACTTGTGAAATGTCTGAAGTTAATTGGCCCTTGATATCATATACTTCTAGTGGTATTTTACTCTGTCTTTTTGGCACAAGTTTATTAATACGCTGAGGATTGGATGCATGAGTTTCCTCCAGTTGCAAAATATAACCCGTATTGTATTATCTTTTTAAGTATCATAACCGTTTATCAAACAAATTTTGCCCCAACTTAAAATCAACTCTGTACTGTTCTTTCTATTCTTTTTCACCTTTATATTTTAAATAAATACGTTCTGCTTTACGCATTGCCTTCCACAAATCCCCTAACTCCTCATTCCAAAATGGTTTATTAGGCCTGTGAATTTTCTGAGGCGACTTTGGTCTTGTGACTGCTCCACCTAGCTCACTGTTTGTTGCCGCACAATGAATTCAAGAAATAACAGTGAGTGATCTGGGACTCAACAACTATCACTAATCAAATCATAGCATTGGCAGTCTGAAATAAGTTGAGATGAAGGTAATACTTTAAAGTTCAGACAAGTTTCTAGACAGTCAAAAGGTACAGCTATATAATCTACGACAGCCCTCCCTTTGGTTGAGACTGAGGTAAAGTTATTGCTAAGTGGGCTCAGCCATCCATTTAGAACACACATTTTAGAGTCCAGTAGAAATTCCAAGAAGGCCTCTCCATATAGCGGTTCACACAGTCATCAACTGCAGTACGTACAGGAATATTGTCCACTTCACTTCAATAATCTAACTGGTCACCAATACTACTGTTGAAGTCACTGCAAAAATAAACAGCGTCCAAATTTGAAAATAGGTAAACCTGGCTCAGTAAATGAGCAAAAAAAAAAAGAAGATACGTCCCTTCCCCAATGAGACAGTTAGGGTGGTAAATAGCATGAATAAAAAACTATAGTCTGAACGTAAGACAGATCCCTATAATTCCATCCACTATTTTATCAACTATTTCTATTTCAAATTCACTGAAAAGATGGGATTTAACAAATGGGATTTAACAAATATCCCTATTTCTGTAAATTAGACATGTTCTCAGTATTTACTTTGGTTTCATATGGGACATGAACAGCGGCCTCCTGGGTCAAATTCCTGTGTTTGTTTGACTCTCTAGTGGCCGTACTGGATACGGCACCCCCTCACTACCCTGACTTTGTTCACTTTACTTCCTCTTTTGCTCCCGTCGTAATAAGTATGGCCACTAGAGGTCGCTGCCTAACAGTAAACGTAAATATGAGTCATGATAAGCTTCTTTACAGACGACCTAGGGCATCACCTTTGGGTAGAACATGTGTCTGCATTATCATATGTCCTGAAATTCGTTCTTCAAAGCACAGAGTGTGTAGTCAAAGGGTTAAAACATGCTTTACTGCAGATCTGAACCAACAGAGCTCATCTAGCAGGTGTTTGTGAAGCTGGAGGTGTGTGATGTCTTGGATTTTTGTCTCTGAGCTCCTTACTGACGGATGTTTGTGTTGGAATGTGGGCAGAGCGAGGATTAGCTGGGTAATCCCTGACCAGAACAACGCTAATCCTCAACCTCATCCCTCACACCTCTGGACACTGAGCTATTCAGATGCTACACAGGAGACATGGAGTGTGTTTCTGTAGTGTGTGCCCACTGAAAACTAGAATCCCTTCTGTTAGGTAAAGACAAAGACAAACAGTGTAAGAATAAAGGTCAGGATGAAGACAGATTTATGTACAGACAGATCCCGCTGTGTTATCATCTTATAAAAGAAGTGGTCATGCAACAGAGGCATTGGTTCAAAACAACAGACTTTATAGAATAATAGACGACGACACCGTGAAGTCACTCATTGGTTTGTGGACTCCCATTTTGCCACTTGAGGTTGGCATTTGGCCATCACAGTCTTGGATGTTTGGGTCCAGAAGTGAGCTAGCTAGCTTGGTTCGCATTATGCATCTACAGCTGTGGTTAAATGTGATAATGCTAATGCTAATGCTAATTTTCATTTGCGACAAACAGACCTAAAACTATTGAAATAAAATGCCAGAAAACTGCACGTCTGGTTCCTTAGAGCGTCTTTTAGTCAACCAAATGCTGAATAAGACTTTTTAGGTGACCAAAATGTTATAATGAACTTACACAAATTTGAAGTACACTGAAATAGTGACAGCTATGGCTACACCTATCCTCTGTGAATCTGGTTACATTACTTAATTGCGCTACACTTCTGCTCTATGTGTCCCCCCGCTCTACCGTACAGTGCCTGGAGTTTGGTGAGGGCTCGGTGACAGGGGACATGTGTGAGGACCTGTGTGTGCTTGGCCTGGTTGAGTACAAGCGCTGCCTCTACTATGAGAATGGGAAGAAGGTGATTGAAGCACGCTGGAGAGGAAACCCCGTCATCCTCAAGTCCAAACTGGAAAACTTTTCATCCTACGAACCACTGGGAATCCTGGACTATCAGGTAACATCTCTTGTTATTGATCCAGGGAGGCTCAACCTTGATCACAATACACTGAAAATGATTTACAGTAATTCCCTCTCACAGGACACAGCAGAGGAGCTCTCCCCGCTTGATGTGGTTTTCTACGCCACTCTTGAAGTAAGTCAGATCATTTGTTGATAATAAAGCTTCTTATCAGACAAAAACATGGCGGGAACCTGAAGTTGTACAAAGAATTTACACTAGCTGTGTTTCCATCAACACATTTTGAAGGATCACGTCAGAAGTACTGTATGGAGACTGCAATTTTTGTATAAAAATTAGTACTGTGCAAAAAATTTTGAACGCTTGCTTAAGGCGGTTTTTGTCTTGTCAAAAAAAAGTTGCCAGAAAACTGTTGGCATTTTATGTTTATGAAAGCCACAGATACATTTCATTTGTTTGTTATTATGTAGTGATTCATTCAAACTTGACATTTCAACAGTGCTGTGGTTAACGTGTGGTTAGGTTTAAGCACAAAACCCACTTGGTTATGGTTTGGAAAAGATCATGTTTTGGCCCAAAATACTTTTTGTGGCTCCATCCCGGCAGAAAAGTGAGTGATATCTTGGTGAAAAACAACTTCTTTTTGGGGCACTATCCCAGCAGGAAATATGGCAGTATCTTGGTTAAAACAACCGCTTTTTGTGGCATTATCCTGGCAGGAACCACAGCGATGTCTTGGTAAAAAGCAACTTCTGTTCATGGCACTATCCTTTTGAAAAACAAAACAAAAACAAAACACGGGTTGCTATAAAGCACCCACATTTGGTGACTATAAAGCTTCTAAAAACAGCAATGACTTGGTTAAAAACAACCAGTGTTGTTGTTTGTTGATATGAACAGTGGTCTGCAGTGGTCTGCAGCTCTATAGAAGTGTGCCTAATTCCCTTTTTCTTTGTTGTGACATTTCAGAAACTTGTAATTTGCTTTGCATGACTGTAGATAGGACTGCTGATTTGCTGTGTGTAAAGTAACAAAATCACAACTTTTCTATGAGTGCATCCTCTTTTTCCTCTGATCTCAGATACTAAACTCTCTGGGGCTGGCTGAAGAGAATGAGGATGAAGAGGGAGGAGGAAGTAACAGCTCTCTGGCCAGACTTTGGGGGAAGAAGCTGAAAAACAGAGATAAGAGTTACTCCAGAGCAGAGCTGGCCTCACTCTGGTCTCTGCTGCAGCAGGAAGAGTATACCTTTCTCAGGTAAAAAACACAGGGAATAACTACCCCTCAAATATCCTGAAAGTATTTCACAGCTTTCAAATGTCAGTTTTCAGCAAGTGCTGAAAATTCTGGGGTCTGGTTTCGGGGATATAAGGTCTATGCTTCCGAGAAATTTGTTTGTATGAAAAGTGACAGAAATATTTGTGTGACACACACTGATTATTTTGTTATTTCCAGTTAAAGTTCGGTTTCTATTGAAATTATTTCAACAATGAAAAGCAAAGATGAAATATAATGAAATAAGGTATAAATTGTCCATAGGTTGCAATACAAAGTGGGAAAGAGTGCAAATAAAACTAGATTTAAACAATAAAAATTATCACTGATGTGCAAAAATTAGGCCATTATTTTCTTAAATCACTGAAATCAATGGGCCTATATTTGGGACAGGCATTTATATGGGACAGGCCTTTAATTTCTTTCACACAAAACTGTTTCTCAGCAAAGATCGGGAAATACAATCAAATTGTTTACTCAAACCAGTATGAATATTACTTGTTTAAAAATGAGGCTTTAGATAACATATCAATTATGAATCATTCACATAATCAAGCTCCGACAGACAGTGCATTAGAGAGACAGAGGGAGGGAGAGAGAGAGAGAGAGAGTTACAGCACTTGAGGTTTACAGCATGTAGCCGCACCGGGCTAGTAAAAGGAACTAGGCTTTTAACTGGGACTAGGCTAGGCTTGAAGTTTTACGATAAGTGTCATAAATATAATCAGTCTAAGTAGCAAAAATAGTTGATGTAAGTGATTTAACTTGCCTTATATGTGTGTAAATATTTGTAATATTTCATCCTCTGGAAAGCATGAAGCAACTCAGGAATCCCCACCTTGGTCTGACCACTGGATTTTTGGGCCTCTGCACGATTATAGCCGTGACTGGAGGCATTATGTTATGAGGCTGTCCATCCATTGGTCTCATCTAAAATGCAATAACTCAAGAACGCCTTGATGGCACAAATGTCCACTGGACTAAATGATGAACTGGTTAGATATTAGTGGTTAAAGGTCAAGGTCACTGTGACCTTGTGTCTGTCTTATTCTCGTGTTGGCCCAAACCTCCACTTGGACTCAAGAATGAACTGATTAGATTTTGGTGATCAAAGGTCACTGTGACCTCACAAAAATGTTTTTGGCAGTAACTCAAGAATTCTTACGCTAATTATGACAAAACCTCACACAAATGTCTAAAAGGATAAAATGACTAAGTGATCACATTTCATATCCAAAAGGTCAAAGGTCAGCTTCCCTGACATCATGATGTTTTCTGGCCATAATTTAATGCCATATCTCAGCAACAGAAAGGGAGGCATTTGGTCAGATACAGAATTGGTGACTCATCTCAAAACTGTGCTGACTGTACACATCTGTGCTGCAGAAGGGAAATGTATGTGAAGCATCCATGTTGAAGCCTCTTTGCAGCAGCATTGATATTCGAAGCATTATCTGCTGTCATGGCTACACATAAGTCTGGACAGTCATGGATGTAAACTGTTACTGCAACTTGACTGGTTCATAGATGCACACAACTGTGAGGCAGTAATTCTAGTTTAAATTTCTTGTGACGTGTCAATTTGGCCTCATGTTGGTGCTAAAAGTTTAAAAGGTTAGGATGACATCAAAATGATTAGGATATATCTTTGAGATCATAATAATTACAACTAGTCTAATGATAATTGGGCTGGGAGTTCTTTAAACAGGCTCACTATCATCATTTTTTTTAGTGTTTACCAAAAAGGAAAAAAAAAGCCATAAAACCATGTTTCTGCTATCTTCTTCCAAAAACTCAACTAAGTCAAGTAAGCTCATGTCATCCTTGAAAATGAGAAATTTTGTCTGCAGAGCTGGAGGACAAAAAGAGAAAGACGTCAGCTTGTTTTCAGGGCTCAGACAACCCACCAGGCTGGAAGCCAAAAATAAAAGCGGGGAGGCGAGGTGACCTGTGCTGCTGCTTATCTGGAGGCAGAGCTGCAGTGACACATGGAGTTCAGGATATAAAAAAAGAACAGTGTTTGTGTTTGTGTGTGTGTGTGTGTGTGTGTGAGAGAGAGAGAGAGAGAGAGAGAGAGAGAGAGAGAGAGAGAAAGAGAGGTACTTGGGAGGGTGTTTGGATGTAGGGATGGAAACAACAGAGAGGAGGGGGATAACACACTCCTGTGGATTTGTCTAACTAAAGGGTGTGATATTAGCTCATACACAGGCATGTTTCCTTGTTATCAGAATCAGAAACAGGTTTTGACACGCAAGGGATTTGCTTTGTGTTTGGTGCATTATGGTCACAAAAAAACTAAATAAGATAAACAAATAAATATATAACAATATAAACAACAATATAAACAAAATAAGAGAAAAGACCAAAGAAGTCCTGAAAAAGTCAAGAATCACAAACATGAAATAGAAATTTGCCATAAAAAATATGTAAGATATATCCCCACTGAAATGAGGCTTATGACCCTGCATCACTAGCTCACCCGCTAAGACAGCGGAATTTTTAACCTATGTACTACTTGCTCTGCCCAGCTGATTGAAAGGATGACTTTTGCAGCAATAGGCTACTATTTTAATTTAGCTGCTAACATAAAGTACTCTTTGCTGCAATTTTTTTTAGCATTTTTAACATTTACAAAGCTCTCCAAATGCCTTTACATGCTCTCCTAACACATATAAGAAAGTAAATGTATTTTTTTTTTTTAAGATTATTTTTGGGGGCTTTTTCACCTTTAATGGATAGGACAGAGTGAAATGGGGGGAGAGAGAGTGAGGAAATGGCATGCAGTAAAAGGTTGCAATCCAGATTCAAACCCATGACCGTTGTAGCGAGGCATCCCCTCTATATAAGGAGCACCAGCACTATCCACTATGCTACCAGCAATCCTAATTGTAAAGTTTAAAAGTTAAACTCTAACTACTTCACAACACACATGCCACCATACATGGAAATGAGGAATGCAAGACTTGAAATATTTCTTCTAGTTATGTAAGGTGGCTCCACCTTACATAACTAGGCTACTACTACCAGGAGGGCATCATTTGTCATTGTAGGTAGTAGTAGCCTAGTTATGTAAGGTGGCACCACCTACCGTACAGGAGTGGGACTACTACCAGCCCTTTTTTTTTTCCGAGTGAGAAATTGGAGGTGTGGCGTGTGAAAACAACCAATTGCGTGACTCTCAGGGCGAATGCGTGAGAGTTGGCAGCTTTGCTAATTAGCATTAAACACAAACTGCAGCTGAAGTCGATGTAACTGTCATTAGGTCTGAAGATATTTTGTCATAAACAAGTGGCAGTCTCTCAGGTTAAAATATGAAGCCAATGCTGAAGTGTCATAAACTGCTCCTCTAATGTCCACTTGAGGCTGGCTCCAAGAGCAAGTCATTCCCCATAGACCTCCATGTTAAAATGCCCAACTTTACAGCAGACATAAACATGTTTACAGCCTGGTACAAAAACACGTTTGGTTTCTATAGCTAAGTTCAACAACAAGGCTGAATTTTTATATAACTAACCCATTAGGTAACGTAACCATGGTGTAACCCTAGCTTTACAGTGTATAGGTGTATCTGTAGCTGTCACTATTTCAGTGTATTTTCATTCATGAAAGTTAATTGTAACATTGTGGTCACCTAAGAAAATCTTGCTCAGCATTTGGTTGCACTAAAAGTCCCTCTAAGGAGTTGTATGTTCAGTTTTTCAGCCACATTATTTTGTTTTTAATAGTTTTAGTCTGTGTCACTAGTGAAAATTAGCATCAGCATTATCTCAGGGAGCACTGTGGCGAGATATTACAGCATAACCATAGCTGTAAATGCACCGTGTTAACCAAGCTGGCAGCTAGCATTAGGGTTATCTCCACTCTCAACCCTCTTGTCCAAATATGGTTTCTTCTGGCTCCAAAAATCCAAGATGTTGACAACCAGAATGTCAAACATGAGCCTCTAAAATGGGAGTCCACAAACCTGTTGGTGATGTCACAGTGGCTACGTCCATTATTTTATACACAGGGTTCCTACAGCTTAAGGCAAGTTAGATTTAAGACTTCCTAAGACTTTTTTATTGCCTCTTGCAACAAATTTTTAGACCAATTTCACAATAGCCCAAAACTGAAGTAAAAAACATGAACCATCATCAGTAATGAAGGGCTACGGCCAATTTTGCCCAAACATTGTGACATAAAACGTAACCATTTTGATCAAGTTAAAAATTTCGATGATCTTCTTGGAATGCTGAAAAAAAAATTAAACCTTTTAGAGTGGAACACATGGAATACAATGAACATACTATATTACCAGACAAGTATCCATCTGGTTCGCCTTGAATAATGTTTGTTCATTCTGGTCACTGTATGTGGGCAACAACTAAAGCTTACAACCTCACACCTTAATACAAATTACATGTGAGCAAAATATTGATGTAGAAGTTTTTTACCTGCAACCAAAATATTTACTTTCATCCGTCATCAAAGTCCACACCCCATGTAGCAACATTTTTGCCATCTTTCCAAGTTGTTCCAACTTGAGGGAGCATTCACTTGAATTTTCCCAGTTGACAGCTAATTTTTCCAATTATTCTGACAACATTTGAATGCGCTATGCATTTTGACATCAGCCAGTCTGAAGCTCTCTGACTGGATGTTTTTCACTGCAGTGCTCCTTGAGAATTATAGTTGCCTTCACTCCAGTAGTGTTACAGACAGTCTTCTACTGCTCATGATCAGGACTGCTCTTTTGATGCTTTAGTGAAAACCACACGTTCTCATACCTAAATGACAGAAAAAGTCTTTGCCAAAAACAATGCTAATGACTGTTGTACTTAAGTTAACTTAAACACAGAAGTTAAAATGACTCTCTGTTGGCTTATGGATTTACTCTGGATACAAACAGTGGTCTCATTGGTTCAAGTCCTGTGTTTGTTTGAACCATCCATCCACCCCGATGCGCCATATGTCTGTGTATATGATGTCAAAGTTGGCACTTTTGCACCAACACTTTCACAGACTTTCTGAGTTGTTGTTTGGACTTGAGGTGGCGCTCATGTGAATCTTCCAAGTTGGGAACAAATTTTTCCAATTATTCCGACACCACGTGAATGCTCTGTGCATTCTGACATTAGCCACTTGGCAACAAAATCTGAAGCTCAGATGTTTCTCACCACAGTGCTCCCTGAGTCTTATACTTGACTTCTCTCCAGTAGTGTTGTAGACACAGTCTTCGACTGTTCACCTTTAATCAGTATACCCAGAACAGTTTGATAATCAGGTAAACATGACCAGGATGTAAATTTGTGTTTCCTAAGATAGCAAAGCAATTACCCACCCCACTCTGTCTTACTCTGCCTCTGATAACCCCTTACCCTGACATTCTTACTTTAACCCTAACAGTCCCATTACCGCCAGGCTCTCTCTGCGAGGGATATCGGTATGCAGTGACTCTTGTTGGAGCACCCAGCTGCGCACAGCGAGTTAGATTTTTAGGGTGATTTTATCTTAGCCAATCCAGAATTTGTGTAAGGAGTTTTAAAAGTCCTTACCTTTTGTTTGGTGCGCCTGTCCCGCCGCGCAGGGAGGATACTCCTCCGAGTCACCACTGACTGCCGTCTTTCCTTCAGAGACGACTGTTCATGACGCCAATTATGTAAGGAAATTGCTCAACTTCAGCAAATACTGAAATGAAGAGACTCAGAGAACCACGGAACAAAGTTACTGCCAACGGGATTACTTTAATTGCAAAATACAACTCAGCACACTCAGGTTGTAGATCGTAACAGAGAACTGCAGAATACAGCAGAAACAGCCCTGCTTATCCAACTTTCAGATGCCTTTATACTGTTGAGTGTGGGCGTCTGTTCGTTTGTGTGCATGTGTGTGTGTCTATGTGTGTGTGTGCAGACAGGTCTGGGATTATGATCTCATTGTCCCAATAGGTTTGATTCCTTGGGAAACCTAAGTGTTTTCTGTTCCGTTTGATTTCCGAGAATTGGAACTGCGCACGAACCTCAATTTATCAAAACAACTCCTTTATCTGAGTTTCCCTAGCATTCCGAACGTCACTTAACTCAAAAACAACTTATAAGGATTCTTTCCTATTGCGAAACCTAACCTATCTGTTCCAACGGTCAGGTCACTCTGACCCAGAAATGTTCTGCCCCATTTGATTTTCCAGGACTTGTCTCGTCTCGTCTCGTCTCGTCTCGTCTTGTCGTCCTCCGCTTATCCGGGTCCGGGTCGCGGTGTCAGCAGCCTCAGCAAAGAAGCCCAGACAGTCCTCTCCCCAGCCACCTCTGTCAGCTCTTCCGAGGGAACCCCGAGGCATTCCCAGGCCAGCCGGGCGATGTAATCCCTCCAGCGTGTCCTGGGGCGGCCCCGAGGTCTCCTCCCGGTTGGACATGCCCGAAATACCTCCCAAGGGAGGCGTCCGGGAGGCATCCTTACCAGATGCCCAAACCACCTCAACTGGCTCCTCTCGATGTGGAGGAGCAGCGGCTCTACTCCGAGTCCCTCTCGGATGTCTTAGCTCCTCTCCCTATCTCTAAGGCTGAGCCCAGCCACCCTGCGAAGGAAACTCATTTCGGCCGCTTGTACTCGCGATCTCGTTCTTTCGGTCACTACCCAGAGCTCATGACCATAGGTGAGGGTTGGAACATAGATCAACCGGTAAATCGAGAGCTTCACTTTCTGGCTAAGCTCCCTTTTCACCACAATGGACCGGTCAAGCGTCCGCATCACTGCTGACGCCGCCCCAGTCCGCCTGTCAATCTCCCGCTCCATCCTACCCTCACTCATTAACAAGATCCCGAGGTACTTAAACTCCACCACCTGAGGCAGGACCTCCCCCCGACCTGGAGTGGGGAATCCACCCTTTTCCGGCTGAGGACCATGGCCTCAGACTTGGAGGTGCTGATTCTCATCCCAGCCGCTTCACACTCTGCTGCGAATCATCCCAGCGAGAGCTGGAGGTCACTGTTCGATGGAGCTAGGAGGACCACGTCATCCGCAAATAGCAGGGACGAGATCCTCCTGTCACCAAACCTGACACCCTCCACCCCTCGGCTGCGCCTAGAAATTCTGTCCATGAAAGTTATGAACAGAACCGGTGACAAAGGGCAGCCCTGGCAGAGTCCAACCCTCACCGGGAACAGGTCCGACTTACTGCCAGCCACGCAAACCAGACTCGTGCTCCTTCGGTACAGGGACTGGATGGCCCTTAGCAAAGGGCCACCAACCCCATACTCCTGGAGCACCCCCCACAGGATGCCCCTGGGGACACGGTCGTAAGCCTTCTCCAAATCCACAAAACACATGTGGATTGGTGGGGCAAACTCCCATGCCCCCTCCAGCACCCTGGCGAGAGTAAAGAGCTGGTCCACGGTTCCGCGTCCAGGACGAAAACCACATTGCTCCTCCTCAATCCGAGGTTCAACTATCGACCGGACCCTCTTCTCCAGCACCCTGGCGTAGACCTTACCGGGTAGGCTGAGGAGTGTGATCCCCCTGTAGTTGGAACACACCCTCTGGTCCCCTTTCTTGAAGATGGGGACCACCACCCCGGTCTGCCACTCCAGAGGCACTGCCCCCGATGTCCACGCAATGTTGCAGAGGCGTGTCAGCCAGGACAGCCCTACAACATCCAGAGCCTTGAGATATCCAGGGCGAATCTCGTCCACCCCCGGGGCCCCGCCGCCATGCAGTTCCTTCAGTACCTCGGCGACTTCTGCCCCCGAAATTGGACGACCCGCCCCTGAGACCCCCGGCTCTGTTTCCTCACTGGAATACGTGTTGGTGGGATTGAGGAGCTCCTCAAAGTATTCCTTCCACCACCCAACAATGTCCCCAGTTGACATCAGCAGCTCCCCGCCCCCACTGTAAACAGTGTGAGCAAGTTGCCGCCTCCCCCCCCTGAGGCGCCGGACGGTTTTCCAGAACCTCTTTGCAGCCGATCGATAGTCCTTCTCCATGGCCTCACCGAACTCCTCCCATGCCCGAGTTTTTGCCTCCGTGACTGCCACTGCTGCGCTCCGCTTGGCCCGCCGGTACCCGTCAGCTGCTTCTGGAGACCCACAGACCAACCATGCCCTGTAGGCCTCCTTCTTCAGCCTGACGGCTCCCCTCACCTCAGGACTTGACTACGCAATAACTACTCAATTTACCAAAACTCCTCTAAGGAGTCTTTCTTATTGCCATATCTGATATTTGATCAACTGCTTCCAAGACCTTGTGCAACTGACATTATTTTCACCTTTGATATAGAATGATACATTATCTGCCTCTACAGTCTACACCTGACCAATCCAACCAACAAACGCAACAAGTAATAACAAATGTTGGGGAGAGTAGAGCGGGTCATGCCTTCGTCATCCTAGGAAATACAAATTTGCAATCGGGACTGCTCTTACACGGCTTTATAACAGTCAGTAAAAAAACAACACATCCTCGTATCTGAACAGCAGACAAGCACGTTTGCCAGTGACTACCAAAATAGCATATATGAGAATTGGAGAGTACCAGTGACACAAGCAAGATATTGATTGAACTAGAGTTATGTCTAGTAACTACTATTTAACGTGAAATTGTTTGAGTTTGGTTAGGTTTAGGAAGTTATCATGGTTAGGGTTTAAATAAGTACGTTTGTGAGTATAAGTACGACTTACGGTTTCACTCAGGAGAACAGCAGTCTCCTGGGTGAAAGTCCTGCATTTGTTTGACCTATGTATCTACTCATGCAGACCTTGTCTCATTATACTACACCACCTGACTTCCTCCAGTTCTCTCATCATAATTATTATAGCCACTAGAGTTTACCCCCTAACAATAAACTTGAATATGAGTCATAAGATGTCTGCACTGACAACCTATACAGTGTTTTTTTGGGGATGGATGGTCTGGTAAAGTCTCTGATGTGTCTTATATATATTAATGTTCTCCAGAGTCCTGCAGGACCTCAGCACCCACGTTGCTAAGGTGCTGGGCTCCTGCGGTCATTTCTACGCAGTGGAGTACCTGTCTGCTGGGCACGCCTGGGACCAGAACATCTTCTCCCTGGAGGAGGTGGCTGTGTCTGGGCTGCAGGATCCCGGAGCCCGCGGGAGGTGGACTGCCAGGGAGATGGTGCACCACATCGCACTGAGTTTCCTGGACATGGTGTGGCACTTTGACAATGACTTCACCCACAAGCTGCATCTGTGTGACATCAAACCAGAGAACTTTGCCATTAGGAAGGACCTGACGGTGAGTTTTCAGCTGCGTTTAAATTCATAGCTTGGTGACCTTCTCCTCCAGAAACAACTCACAGTGAAAACAACCAAATGGCTTTAATGTTTCCTGAAAATGTAATGAACATTAACAGAATAAAAGCCAAGCAGGGAGCTGGAAGAAAAAGATAAAAGGGATGTTATTTAAAAAGCTATTAGAGAGAGTAGAGATGGAAATCAGAGAGCAGGCGGTAGATTACGTGAGATGTTTTTTCTTAGGGTTTTTCTTAGTCTACAGCAGAAAATGTGACCCTGCTGCTGGTAAAGAGAAGGTCATTATGCATCAACTGCACAGACACACACACACACACACACACACACACACACACACACACACGCACACACGCACACACCTAGGCAAGATGCCTGCTAAGCTGCAGACCATTGTTCAAGACCAACAAATGACAAAACCCATTGTTTTTAGTTGGTCATCGCTGCATTTCCATCAGCTATTTAGCCAAAAAGTAAAAAATGCAAGTGTTATTGAGGGACCTGTCACTCTTTTCCAGCAGCTTTCTAGACAATAAACAGATGTGTTTTTATAGACCTGTAGCTCTTGTACAGGAGGCTTTGTAACCTCCAAACATGAGTGCTTTTAGGGATTTGTTACTCTTTTTCCAGTGGCTTTTAAGGCACCAAATGTGGGTATTGTTTCGGGACACATAAATCCAAACATGGGTATTATTTTGGGACTTGTTGCTCTTTTTCTGGCTGCTTTTTAGGCACCAAATGTGTTCTTTAGGGACCTGTTGCTCTTTTCCAGCAACTTTTTGGGCACTAAATATGGGTGGTTTAAGGAATGAATGAATGAATGAATGAATGAATCAATAGTTTATTTCGGTTACAATATACAATACTTAAATTGTGTGCAATCAACTGACAAAACATTTACATACATGTTTGCACTACACATTTTCTCACAACAAAATTTAACAAGCTCTGCAACCGAAAAAGGAATAGGCTGAAGCTGAGGCTCATTTTTGCCTATCCTGTACAATCCATAAGATAACCCAGAATATCAGTAATACAAAGAAAAAAACACAACAAAATTTAGTCTAAATTCTTCTTCTTAATCATTTCACAATTCAATCAATTTTACATTGTAATCCTTAATTATTTTACCTTTCAATGTTTTTTTGAAACTCAACAGAGATCTACACAATTTCAACTCATCACTAACCCCATTCCATAATTTAACTCCCAAAAATGAAACACATCTGTATTTAACATTAGTTCTCACATTACTAATTTCAAAGACACTCAACCCTCTTAAATTATACTTTTTTTTCTCTTAATTTAAAAAATTGTTGAATACAGGTGGGAAGACTTTTATTCTTTACTCGAAATAGTATTTCTAATGTTTTCAAGTATACAATACCTAAGAATTTTAAGATGCGAGACTCTAAATAATTTGTTAGTGGTTTCACGATAGGAAGCTTTATTTATTTATTATTCTGATAACTCTTTTCTGGAGTTTAATTATAGGGTCTATATATGTTCTGTATGTATGTATTTGTATCAAGATTTGTCTTTTAATTCTCATTTAAAACAAATCTCACGGACTGCATTTTTTCATCTGCGTAATATTGCGAAAATTAGGCCTAGCCTGATCCGAAAAGATGCAGAAAAATTGGTCCACGCTTTTGTTACCTCAAGGCTGGATTACTGTAACTCTCTATTATCAGGTAGCTCTAGTAAGTCCTTAAAAACTCTCCAGCTAATTCAGAATGCAGCAACACGTGTACTAACAGGAACTAAGAAACGAGATCATATTTCTCCTGTTTTAGCTTCGCTGCACTGGCTCCCTGTAAAATCCAGGAATGAATTTAAAATCCTACTGTTAACTTATAAAGCTCTAAATGGTCAAGCTCCATCATATCTTAGAGAGCTCATAGTGCCATATTATCCCACCAGAACACTGCGCTCTGAGAACGCAGGGTTACTCGTGGTCCCCAAAGTCTCCAAAAGTAGATCAGGAGCCAGAGCCTTCAGCTATCAGGCTCCTCTCCTGTGGAATCATCTTCCTGTTACGGTCCGGGAGGCAGACACCGTCTCCACATTTAAGACTAGACTTAAGACTTTCCTCTTTGATAAAGCTTATAGTTAGGGCTGGCTCAGGCTTGCCCTGTACCAGCCCCTAGTTAGGCTGACTTAGGCCTAGTCTGCCGGAGGACCCCCCTATAATACACCGGGCACCTTCTCTCCTTCTCTCTCTCTCTCTCTCGTATTCTATTACTGCATCTTGCTAACTCAGCCATTCTGGATGTCACTAACTCGGCTTCTTCTCCGAAGCCTTTGTGCTCCACTGTCTCTCAGATTAACTCATATGGCAGCGGTGCCTGGACAGCGTGACGTGTGTGGTTGTGCTGCTGCCGTGGTCCTGCCAGATGCCGCCTGCTGCTGCTGCCATCATTAGTCATTAGTCATACTTCTACTGTTATTATACACATGACTATTGTCACACATGTATACTGCCAGATATTAATACATACTTTCAACATATTGTACCACAGTAGCCAGAACTATAACTATAATATTATTACCTGCATCTCTCTCTCTCTCTCTCTCTCTCTCTCTCTCTGTCTCATTGTGTCATGCGGATTATTGTTAATTTATTATGCTGATCTGTTCTGTACGACATCTATTGCACGTCTGTCCGTCCTGGAAGAGGGATCCCTCCTCAGTTGCTCTTCCTGAGGTTTCTACCGTTTTTTTTCCCCGTTAAAGGGTTGTTTTGGGGAGTTTTTCCTTATCCGCTGCGAGGGTCATAAGGACAGAGGGATGTCGTATGCTGTAAAGCCCTGTGAGGCAAATTGTGATTTGTGATATTGGGCTTTATAAATAAAATTGATTTATTGATTGATTGATTTCCCCAAGCCTCAACACAATATGACATATATGGCATTATAAGTGAAAAATATAATATACGCAGACATTCCTTGTTCAACAAATCCCTAGTTTTATAAATAATACCAATAGATTTAGATAATTTCTGTTTAATATATTCTATATGTGGCTTCCAACTGAATTTATGATCTAAAATTACTCCCAAGAATTTAGTTTCATTAACTCTTTCAATTTCAACTCCATTTAGGATTAATTTCATTTCACAATTAGGCCCAACACCACCAAAGACCATAAATTTTGTTTTATTTTCATTTAATGATAACTTATTGATATCAAACCATTCTTTTAACATGATCAACTCCTTTTCTACAGTTGTCAGCAATTCTTTAATGTCTTGTCCTGAACAAAATAAATTTGTATCATCCGCAAATGTAATAAATTTCAACTTATTAAATACAGTACAAATATCATTCAAATAAAGTATAAATAACTTAGGTCCCAATACCGAACCTTGTGGAACACCACAAGTTACTTTTCTAAAATGTGATGCAGTATTATTAATTTTTACATACTGAAACCTATTAGGGATCCTTCATTCTTTTTCCAGTGGCTTTTAAGGCACCAAATGTGGGTGTTTTGTTGGGGACCTGTCGCTCTTTTCAAGGCAAATTTACCAAAATTACATGGGTTTTTTTGTTTGATTGTTCATTTGTTTTTTAGAGAGAGACCTAAAAGAAAAAAACATGTTTCGTATTTTTTTGGCCATAAACAGGTATGTTTTTACAGACCTGTAGCTCTTGTACCAGAGGCTTTGTAACCTCCATACATGGGTGGTTTTCGGGATATGTCACTCCTTTTTCAGTGGTTTTATAAGCACCAAACATGGGTGTATTTTAGAGACTCATCATTTTTTGCAGCACCTTTTTAGGCAGCAAATGTGGGTGTGTTTCTCTTTCTGCGGCTTTTTTGGGCCAAATGTGGGTATTTTTTTGGGACATGGTGCTCTTTTTTTCATGCTTTTTAGGCACCAAACATGTGATTTTAGGGACCTGTCACTCTTTTTCCAGCAGCTTTTTCGCCAAAACCTATTTGTGTTTTTAGGTACCCATTGTTCTTTTTCCAGCAGGAATAGTACTATGAAAAGCAGTTGTTTTCACAGAGATATTAATGCTTTTCCTACCAGGATTGTACTCCCAAAACAGGGTAATTTAAGCCAAAAACATGATCTTTTATAACCATGTGGTTTTTGTGTCTAAACCCAACCACATATTATCCACAGCATTGTTGAAAAGGAAAGTTTCAACGTATCTGCTACATAATAACGTACAAATGTAACATCTCCATGGTTTGCAGAAACATACAATGCCAAGATTTATTCTGTCTCCATCAATCAATCACATTATAATCAACCTTCTCAAACTGACATATTCATCCTTTAATATTCATCTGTAATATAAAATCAAAAGTTAAAGTTTGCCTATTTAAGTAAGGAGCCTGAGCCTCTTCCCTTCATGTGAAATTCAAAGCAGAGTTTAAATGCCTCACAAGCAGCGGTGAGAAAACAAAACAAATGTCAGCAGTTGTTTTCTCAGCATTATCAGATGGTTTTATGGTTTATGCAGCAGACTGAGCCAGACTGTCATTAATTCAACACCATGTCAGCTCTGTGCTGGGCTCCAGCCAACCATCACAACTGAATCTAAACTATTTTATCTATTAGACTTCTGGCTCAGGATTACAGGAAAATGAGCAGTCCAAGGCCAAAAGTGGCTCCAACAAATGTTGCTAGAGGCTCATTATTGCTCTTATACGAATAGCAGGATTTAGGTTTTCCCTACAAAAGTGTTGGCATGGAACAGATTTAACAACTCACAGCTTACAATGCCAACACTGTAAAATGCTGCATATAAAACAAGAACTGCCATCATGTTCAAATCAGCAGCTTCTATGTTCATTTAATGTGTTTTATAGGAAAATGTATGATTTAATGACTTTCCTGATAGTAGAAATCAGTAGAAACAGCTTCCACAAAGATGTGACTGTAATGAATAAAATGAGTAATTTCATCTTATTCATGGTGATCCTACTAACATGTATGGTGTGTGTATCTACAGTCTGATATATCTTCATCCTCCACAGTTGTAAAAACACACCAGTGAGTCACACTGTTGTTCCTCCATCACCATAAACACACACACTGAAGTTATTTTGACTCAATCCCACACATGCCATCCTGCTGACAAAAATACACACTAGAGCTCTAAATGTGGATTAATCCACCACAAAAAATAGTCCTTAACAACAACCATTTTTTTGCCCATTTGTTTTATAAAAACTACAGTGAGCAGCTGTTTGACGAAATCACTGATAAAAGTATATATTTGTGTTTTTAAAGATTTACATCTTCAGCGGGAACCAATGGGTTTGGGGCTGAGAGCCACAACAGAGCAGTCGCCAGAGAAAAATGTTGGCATTTTACATTTCTGCAAACCATGACCATACGTGATATTTTCAAGTTTCCACGTGTCATAGCAGCGTTTCAAAAGTGATGTAGCATATGAGCTAACTATGTCATCCGAAGGTGGAGGGGATGGTGGATGGTGCTATCACCTAGGTGAGATGTGGTGCAGACCACTGTTCAAGACCAACAAACAACAATGCCAGTTGTGTTTTGTGTTTTTCGCTGTGTTTCCAGCAGCGTCCTAGGTGTGGGTGTATTTAGCGACCTGTTTTTCCAGCTGGGATTTTTTTTTTTTTTACTTTATTAATCCCCCTGAGGGGAAATTAAATTTTTCACTCTTTTTGTCATTAACACACAGGTCCGAAAGAGGACCTATACAATACATGCACAAAGTGGAGAGATGTCAGAGTGAGGGGGCTGCCCTCGAAACTTCGTTGCTCTTCCTGCAGGGACTGTGCCCCCAAAACAAATCAAAGCAAATCATTATCTTTTTTGATTGTCGCTTTAATGAAATTTGTTTGTTTGCATCTTTGAATACTTTATGAATTATAAATGATAATAAAATTGACCAGGATGAACCTGAACACAGTTGAGGTTTTGTCTCTGTTTGTCTCCTGTAGGTGGTGGCGATTGACGTGGACATGGCATTCTTTGAGCCAAAGATGAGGGACATCCTAGACCAGAACTGCAGCAGCGATGATGACTGTAACTTCTTCGACTGCTCGTCCTGGTGCAACCTGAACAAACGCAGGTGCAGCCCCCGCCGTCGCAACAGCAACCTGCAGGTGAGACTGAGACCGACAGGTTTGTCCTGTGAGGTGGCACACTAAGAAACTGGTGTGTGGTAGGATATCATGGCAGAATGATCAAGCTTTCTGACTGATGTTTGTTGATGATGAAATGAAACAAACTCTGACTCTGAAACTCTGAGTCACAGTAAACAGCCCCCATAACATGACTTGATCATTTATGTTTTTTAGTTTTATTTAAAAAACTGTCAAACTTTTAAGAGTTACTAAAAATGATTACTCAGTCCAAGGCAGCACTGTTGTGGTTTATGTCTTGTATGAAATGACTTTATTAGTATTCAGTACATTAACATATTTTTATTTCTGGGATTTATATAAATTTCTATGTTGAGAGACAATGTTCACACAATAAATAAATGACTTAGTATTTTTAATCAAAATAATTCTATTATTGTAAAGAACATTTGTTTGAACTGTGGTCAAATATCTAATTATTATTTTAGGAAAGTGACTCAAAATTGTTATTAATTATTATTATTTCAGATCATTAGTTTAATTTAATTAATTAAAACTTAGAAAACCATTTTTTACTGTAATTGATCTGTTTTAAAAGTGTATTTATTGTTTAAATTCAGAGGCAGGTGTCTTTAAGAATTTGAAATAATCAAAACACACTGATGCAAACATCTTCGAAAAATAAAAACCTTTGAGATTTAAAAACACAAGAAAACAAAAGCTGCATAATTCGGATTTTAATTAATCAATTTTAGGATTTCTGTAATATCTTAGACTTTTAATATCTGCACTTTTGCCATTAGCACTAGAAATGCTGCACAAATATTTATTGTTTAAATAACGATTAATCTTATTTTGTCTGAATTAATTCCCAAACGTTCTTTTTTTTTTTTTTTTTGCTTTTTGCTTTTCTGTGTATTCAGTACACATCCTGTTAGAATCTTCTCTTTTATATCATTGGTAACCCATACAGAAGTGTTTTCTCCTGACAGAAAACTTAAACCGAGGCCTCAACACCCGCTTGCTGCCGTGCGTCCTCCTTGGCCCTAAAGAAGCTGCCTGATAAATGACAGGGTTGTGTTTTCTCAAGAATTCTGGGTAATCCATCTTTCAAAACATTTAATTATAGGTGTGGAGCAAAGCGGCGTGTGGAATGATAATTACTGATCTGAGAACGGGAGGTTTGAACCCACTGTTATATTCTGTTTAAATCCTGCATGCAGAAATATTTTATTAGAAATGTGCTTTTAATTCACATTTTTTTTCACACACTTTAAGAGTTGTATTTTCCTATTGAACATGTGTGAATGTTTTTCTGAAGGTTCAGTGTCCAGAGGAAATAAATTAATCTGTGAAATGTTGTTTGTTAAAATGTTAACATTATTACTATGAGCAGTACATATTGAAAGAGGTGATAAAAATAATTAACAGTTTATGTTACTATTTTATCTCGTCCTTGTTTTCAGTAAATTTCAGTGTTGACTGACCAATAAAACATTGTGGAAATAATCATTTAAAAGCACAAATTTGTTAAAGGTATAAAATCCCAATTTTAATAATAGAAAAGAAAAACCTTTATGAATAAATGTGAATGACTGTAATTAATCCAGACTCATTCACTTTATATCACAAAGATTGATCCCAAATGCTCCTTTTATTTATTTATTGCTTTCTGTATTGTATGTCTTTTAAATACTTCAAATATTAAAGAAAATGTTGATGTTCCCCTCACTGTTGGCACCGATGATATTAGAGATGCAACATCTGGGTCATCAGGAGGCAATGTGTACAGGTATTTCACTGTTTTTATTTTGCTTGATTTCATTTTTATGCACCTGCTGCTTTACACAATTCTTATATTCATTCTGTAAATACATAAACCTATAATCTAAATAATGTTTGTTTCTTCACAAATTACACTTCAAAGAATGCACAACATTTTGTAAATTTGTATTTTTATTCCAAAACATCTAAGATTAAAATTAAAAAGTCTGAATTTGTAAAAGCAGGAAACCATGATTTGGTTTTTGTCTTTTTTTCTTTCTCTCAGTACAGTTTACTTGTTAAAATTGTTCTGATCAGTGTCTGAATTTTTCTTTTTATGTTTAGCTTTGTTGTTTTGTTGCAGTTCTTATTATTCTAACTATTAGCTTGCATTAGGTGATACTGCAGAAACTGTTGAGAGGTTTTGTGTAAATAAAGTTAAAAACAACATTATCACATTTTAACATCTTGTATTTTTGGTAATTACCTGGAGCAAAAACTTTAGTTTCATGAAAGTTCATGATAGCAGAATGGCATTTTAGTCACATTATTATTGTAATTATTATTTTCATCATTATTATTATTATTAGTAGTAGTAGTAGCAGTAGTAGTAGTAGTACTATCATGGTGGCTGTAGCAGCATCACATTGAATATATGTTACCAATAAAATTATATGTTACACAATTATATGTTACATCACATTATTATAAGTTGCTTTCCTTTTCTTTAAGCAGGAGTTGTATTATTAGCAGTATTAATATGAAATTATTTCCATCTGTAGAGATGGGATTTAACTTATATAGTAATTTACTTATATTGTATATTTAAAGAAGGCATTTAGTCAGTGTAATTCTGAAAGCAACATAATGTCTCATCAAATTATTAAATAATTACATACATTATTGGGACTTTCCACTAATTCACATTGTATTCAGAATACTTTAATTTATACAATAACAAGAATACTACTACTACTACTACTATTACTACTACTAATAATAATAATGATAACAACCTATATTTTGCCTCCACATCAGCAGTAACTTGAAGCCATTTTGAAGCATCGGCCTGTCACACTTGGAAGAAGCATCAGGGACACAAAGCAGGACATCACCATCATCACCATGACAACGCCGGGACAGACTCTCATCACCCTGCCGACTCCTGTATCACATGTCATATGATAAGAGATACCTGCATTCATCAGAGGAGAATATGTGTGAATATGAGACGGATGGAAAATATTTTTGTGAGAGCAAAGACTTTGATGTGATGCACAAACATGAAAGCATCTGACGGAGGGGAGGAGCGAGAATGCAGACTCTAGGAATTTTTACTTCTTATACAAACCAGAAGAAAAACAGATCTGTAACAGTCGCTAGTCATAATTAAAGGCTGTTACAAAAAATAGAAATTAGAAAGAAAAAAAAAGAAAACTAGGAAAGAAAACAATTTTAAAAAGGGCAAGTGGGAAAAAATTTAGTAAGGACGGAGTTAAAGGAGTTAAAACAATCTACAGAAAACTGACAAGAGATGTTAAAATATATATGAACAGAAAAAATTAAAAATAGGAAAAATAACCAAAGATGAGAGGTGAGGAGAAAACACAAATTAGAGAAACTACAATTAAAAGAAGTTGAAATGCAAAAATGAAGAGAAAACATAAGAGATTATTGGAAAATAAAATTTAAAAGGTTCGAAAAAATATGTGATTTAAAGGAATAAAAGAATGAAATAAATCTAGGAGAGAAAAAAGGAGAGGAGAAAGAAAGTGTAAAAGAGAAAGAAGGAATGAAATATAGATGAAAAGCTAAAATAATTGAAGAGAAAAAATCAAAGAGAAGTAATCTAAATCCACAAAAAAAAAAAAAATCTAAATAACCAGGATAAACAAATCTAGATAATCAAAGACAAAACAAAATGGTCGATAACAAAAATCCTAAATAACAAAAAAGGAAGTCAAAAAAATGTGCTGAATGGAGAAATGAAGAGTTGAGCAGGAAAAAAGATAAGATGGGAAAAGTGTAAAATGATGAACAAAGGACAGGGAGAACACAGAAGAAAGATGTTATGAGCAGACTAGACACTAGACAGAAGGTGCTGATGACACAGTGATGACACGCTGCTATCCGATTGGTCCACCTGAGACTCCACAGGTGTCTCCTGAGCACGACCTCTGACGACCCTGTCTGTCAATCGTCTCCTCACAGAAAGGAGCCATTGTCTTTTGAACTGTGTGTGATGACTGATTGATAATGAAAAGTGAGGCATCATCTGCATAATGACGTAGAAACAAAAAGCATTTAGGATCACTCAGCTTTTGTCTTTTCTTTTGTCTTCTTGCCCTCTTTACCTTTCCTTCCCTGCCCTCTTTCTCTAAATGTTCCTTTATTTTTCCACTTGGCTACTGTCCTCCTCTTTCCTCACCTCATTTCCTTTTCTCTTTTCCTTTCACTTTCATTCTTTCCCTTTTCCCCCGTCTCTGTCCTTTCTTTGCATTTTTATTTTCTCCCACATTTTTTGCCCCTCACTTCTTTTCATCTCTCATCTTTACTGTTGTCCTTCTCTTTCATTCCCACTCCTCTTCTTTATCCCCTATTTCTACCTCTTGTCCACTCGTCTCTTTGCTGTCCTTTATTTTCTCTTCACAGTATTTTCATACTTCACCATTTTCATGCTGCTTTCTACTTTTCTGTTCCCGTCTCTTGTCTCCTTCATCTCTTCTTTACTGCTTTATAACTTCCTTTCCCCTTGTCCTTGTCATTACCTACTAACTTTCCCTTTCATCTCCTCTCTCTTATCTTTTTCATTTCATCTAATCTTTTGTCTTTTATTATGTTTCCTCTTAACTTCCCCTCCTCTCTCCACTTGGTCTCATCTCGTTTGTTTTGCCTCTTTTCTTTTCTCTAACTTTCCTTTCATCGTCACCTTCATCCCTCCTTTTCTTTCCACTTTTCTTTTACTTTTTCTCATAATCCATAATTCTGCTATATTTTCGCTCCTCTCCTTTCCTCTCTCCTCTCTTCTCTGCTTCTTATCTTCCTTTTTTTCACTCCAAGCATCTTCACTCTTAGTCTTCCGATGATCTCATCTCTCTCCCTTCTTTTTCTTATCTTTACTCCACATCTTCACACCTTTCTTCTTCTTTTCTCTTCAGGTAATTTGTGAGAAGATCTTCAGGCCATGGTTTTCTCCCACACTGCTCGGGGCCAAAGCTGGTCTCCCTCTGCAGGTAGGATTGTTTTTTATTTACTTTTATATTTATATTATTTATTTACATTCATTTTTTGTACAGAGATTTATCTAAAATTATGCTTATAGTATTCATTAATATACTTTATTTTCTATCTTTATTTTTATTGTCTTTTTTTTTTTAGATAAATGCAGCAGTAACACACTGAACCAATCATTATCTAATGTTCTCTATATTTATATTCATGTATATATTCAATCATCTTTGGTGGCTGGTCAAATGGAGACAATAAAAATGATTCAAATGTAAGACTTGCCATATATAAAAATATCTTTAAAGAACTTCTTGATATTTATTTTTACAGAATTAAATGAGCAACTTATTTCAGGCATGCTTCATCAGGCTTACTTATCGCCTTTTACTTTAAGTCAAGTCAGCTTTATTTCTACATCCTAAAATTCCAATTTTGTCTTAGAGGGATTCCCAACCAGCACAACATACTGTATGAAGGGTTCTGTTGTTAGACCTTCAACTCAGAAAACAGCCCAGTCACCAGAATAAAACATTGGCATTGTACATTTCTGCAAACCATGGATACAAATTTGTATGTTTCATAGCAGAGTTTCTAAAATGAAGTAGTATATGAGCTGACTTTGTCATCAGGAAGTGGAGAGGATGGTGGATGGTGTGACACCTTGGCGAGATACCTGTAAGACATGTGGGCGATGCCTGCCAAGCTGCAGACCACTGTTCAAGACCAACAAACAACAAAAATGGTTGTTTTTAGCATCCTATTTCCGCTTCTCCAGCAGCTTTTGTGCTACCAAATGCGGGTATTTTAAACCAACTGAGCTCAGTCCATAGGGACTTGGGTTGGGAACTGGAGGGTTGCTGGTTTGAGTCCCTCAAGTCCAAGTACGGTAGCTGGGGAGGTGCCAGTTCACCTCCCAGCCACTGCTAAGGTGCCCTTGAGCAAGGCACTGAACCCCCAACTGCTCAGGGTGCCTGTCCAAGGCAGCCCCCTCACCCTGACATCTCTCCATTTAATGCATGTATAGGTCCTGTCTGTGCATATGTGTGTATTTCGGGCCTGTGTGTATTTGAGAACAAAGTGAAAAAAATTTGTATTTCATCTCAGGGATTAATAAAGTTCTTCTTCTTTTTTTTCTTCTTCTTCCAAATCATGTGCTTTTCCTAACCATAACTAAGTGGTTTATGTGCCTAAACACACATTAACCACAGCGTTGTTAAAATATAAAGTTTAAACGTATCTGCTTAATAATATCAACTTACAAACGTAACATATTTGTGGTTTTCAGAAACGTACGATACAAACATATTTTCTGGTGACTGAGCTGCAGAAAAAGGAAAATCATCACAAAAAACTGGAACTGCAGGAAGACACGAAAGCAGGTATCACTCCTGCAGAGCAGAAAGACATGCATTAGATGTCATGTGAACAGAATAAAGTGAAATGACAAGAGCAATAGTGCAATATGAAGAAACAAAATGACAACAATAATAATGATAATAATACTTTTTATTTCACCTTTCATCTTTACCTTTCAAAAAACCCAAGGTCACCTTGCAGAGCATAAAATACTGATGTTAGGCTGACAAACTACAAACTTATTATATTAAATTCAAAAAAGTGTAGTGGGTTAGAGAGAAACTTTTAGCTGCTTTGATGCTAAAACAGTTTTTAGGTTTAAGAATTTCATGGGTCTTTTTCAGAAAATCCAAATTTAAAATCATCTTCTGTGTCTTTTCAGGTGGAGTTGCAGCGAGCGGTGCAGGAGTGTTCAGAAACAGATGGAGGTGTGGATGAGAAGGAGGAGGATGGAGGAGGAGGAGAGGCAGATCAGAGCAGGGACGTCCATCAGCGCCTCTTCAGCATCCTGACGCGCCTCCTCAAGGAAGGAGGGGCCTCGGGTGAGAGGACAAGGGTCTGGGAGGAGAAGGGCCACGTCCACACTGCACTCAACTTCTGAGGAGATGAAGTGGAGACTGTAAGGGACCTATGAATGGCCCTAGTGATAACAGGTCCCCACTAAAGGGAGAGCCTCAGACATACACATGTGCACTCTTTCTACAGGAGGAAAATCAGTTTCTTCTTTGGGAAGTTTTGAACAAAAAAAAGGTGGGGACAGAGATGTTGAAACACTCATCCTGGAAACTAATTACCCTCATGGAGAAAACACAGATGTTTGTTTACACATTTGCTGATAGAAAAGTATGAAATCAGAGCTGCAGTTTTAGCCACCAGCATGATGTTTCAATCCAGACTGATTTTTAACAAATATGGCCCATTTCTGTCATTATTACATTATATCTGGTCAAAACATGAACTATAAATATATACTATATAGCTAAAAGTATACGCTTGTCTATTTGGTTTGTTTCTTCTGGTTTTGGCCTCTTTGTTCCCCTAAAGGGAAATCTTAATGCTGAGGCAAACAACAATATTTTAGACAATAATGTTCTTCCATTCTGGGATGAGATGAACTGTGATTCAGACCTCATCACCAACACCAGTGTTGGAATTCATGTGTCTGAATGGGATCAAATCCTTGCAGCAGGTTCAACATCTGGTCGAAAGACTGAAACCAGGAGAGCGGAGGCTGGCATACTTTTGTGTACATCTTTGGGTAATATACACAAACCAGATTTTGCATCTCAGTTTCAACTGTTTCTTTATTGTCAATGTGCCTCCAGATTTTTTTCTGGATGTAAAAATGTTTAATAATGTTGTGATTGCAGAAAATCACATTGGATTTTGTCAACGTCTTGACCAGGACTGTAATGCTGAGTAAGTGAGCTCAGCAATGCCTTAAGTGTCACCTCATCAGAGGAACATTTTATGGATCCTCTCAGGGGTGAATTCACAGAGGATTTTTGCGGCTGCTGATAAAATCATGAATTGAGCAATGTAACCACTATCTGCCCCGTCTCGGGGTCTGATTCACCAAAGATATTACACTAATTATATTGCAGCACAAACACAGCCATAAAGTGTTTGCAGCTGACTGAAATTATCTAGGTGGTGAAGTATAAATGTTACCTTTGCAGAACAGGCAGAACAATGGCAGAGTGAAAAAAAGTGATCAATGTTCAGATGACGTGCTACAGGTGCAGAGGAATTTCTCAAAACTTTATGCAGGAATTTAAATGTGACAGAGAGAAACTGTATTTATGATTTGTTGTCTGTTAGTACGCTTCAGATCCGACCAACTCTCTTAAGACACTAAAAATTTTACTGTAACTGTGTGGCTGGTAGCGCTGATCTTTGTGAACTGGACTGTATTTGCAGTGAAGCTCACTTGCATAGAAAGGGGCCAATTTTGCACCAAATGTATGCATATTACCTGATTTAAATATGTGAAAATAAGCACAGGAGCATCAAGACACTGTTTGCTTGACAGCGCAGTTCTGGTGCATTTTGTCCTTTGTGGGTGCATTTGAAAATTACATGGTTTCCATTTGTGCAGGTTTAGCAGCTGTAAAAATTACAATATCCTTTGTGAATTCACCCATCAAAGTTTTTTCCTCCTTTATGTATCCTGTTAGTCTCAGTGAGATTTTTAAAAAAAATCTCTCGTTTGAAGAGAGACTGCAGTAAGAAAACAACTGTGTAGATAAATGTAAGCTGCAGACAAGCTGTAACAATGTACTAATTGTATTAACTACTAATTAATAAGTAAGTAAGTAAATAAATGACTAATAGCTGTCTTGGTCATTTTTAGGCTTTCAGTTTGGGTTTTTAAAAGTAGATAACTATTATTTGTTTGGTTGTAACCGCTGCAGTTTCAACAGTTTATTCAAAACTGTAGCAAACAACGTACCCCAAACTTACATATCTGTCATATTACAACATCATCTCATCGCTACTCATCATATACTGCCACTTAGGTAGGACCCCGGCATTACTATAATGACGCAGGGGCCAGAGCCTTTTTTGTTCTATCTTGACGCAGAAGGGGTCGGTGGTCAGATTTAGGCAACAATACTACTTGGTTATGGTTTGGGTAAGATAGCTGATGGCACTTAATGTTATCCAGCTTTGTGTGGCACAAATGCGGTGGTGAGAAGGGGTAGGCAGTGAGCTTTAGGCAGCAATACTACTTGGTTATGATTAGAAAACAATTGCAGATGTCACTAAAAACATACATGTCTTTAAATAGCGCAAACACGGCTATAAGTAGGTGATCAGCGGTTAGGTTTAGGCAAAAACACTGCTTGGTTATGGTCAGGGAAAGATACCAGATGTCGCTAAAAAAACTCCTGGCTTTGTGTGGCACAAATGCGGCAGTCAGTATGGGTCACCTGTTGGGTTTAGGCAAAAACACTACTTAGTTATGGTTAGGAAAAAAGTATGCATCACAGTAAAAAAACACCCAGCTTTGTGTGGTACAAATATTTCTGTGAGAAGGCATCGGTGGTTAGGTTTAGGCAACGCTACTTGGTTATGGTTATGGTTATGGAAAAGACTGCCGATGTTGCTTAAAAAAAAGCAAGCTTTGAGTGGCATGAATGCAGCTGGAAAGGCAGCAGTGTGTCGCTAAAAAAACATCCAGCTGTAATTGGCACAAGCGCTGCAACTGATGTTATTTGTTGGTCTCGAACACTGCTCTCCTGGGTCAAAGTCCAGTGCTTGTTGGAATCACTATTATGACATCTGGGACGCTGTCCAAGCCATGTATTTTGAGGCAATGGGAGTGAGACCAGGCTGGATATTAATTGTGAGCAGAATTAATAATTCCTCCCTCAAGGTGTTCTTGAGATATTGTGTTTATGAGGAAGAGACTGACCGGGTCACACTGACTTTGCCCTTTGACCACCAACATCAAATCAGTTCATCACTGAGTCCAAGTGGACGTTTGTGCCAAATTTAAGGAAATTTTCATCATTGTATCCTATTAGTGTAAAATAATTTTGCCATAATTAGCAAATTATGAGTTATGGCCAAAAAAATGTTTTGTGAGGTCACAGTGACCTTCGACCCCCAAAATCGAATTAGTTCACAGTTGAGTAAATATTTGTGCAAAATTTTAAAAAATGTCCTCATGGTGTTCTTGAGATGTTGCGTTCACAAGAATAGGATGGACAGATACACCTACATTCATACATAGGTATAGACAGAAAACCCAAAAACATAATACCTCTGGCTATGTCTATCGGTGGTAGGGAAGCATAAAATTGGAATCTGTCACTAACATACATACCTAAAGTATGGCTGGGTGATTAATCAAATTCTATTTTTGATAACGACTTTGGCTCCAAATACTATAAAAACAAGATAGTTGAAATTAAATGATTATTTGGCGCATTCTGTTTTGTAATGATGGTCCTGTTTTGACTTGTGTTATGAATCCACCACTTTCATTTATTTATCTATTTTTTTTTTTACTTTTATTTTTTTATCAAATTATATTGAAAAGTTCAAATTAATCTGCTATCATAAAGTTTTCTCTTAAATTCAAGAAATGCATGATGTTTCCAAAGTCAATAAGTAATCATGTTGAATAATTCGGATCTTAAAGTTGACCAAAATAATCCTGTTTGTTTGTTTTTGTTTTTTTCCCAAAATTAAGCAGCCCTACTTACAAAGCCCTTTCGTTGCCCGACTGATTCATTTGTGTTTTGGTGTTCATGTCTGAGGTCAGACTGGATCACATGGATTCTGTCAGCTTTATTGCCATGATTTGTGAAGACTAACGGTCTCTCAGGTACCAGGCTTCTGTAAATAGAAATATTCATATGTAAAGCTGAGTTGAATAATAAAATGTGTGCTGATGTTCTACTGCGTGTCACCAAGAGTCCGGACCCACAGCTGGGGCCTGTATCACAAAGCAGGATTAATGTCTTAGCGAGGTAACTTCAGGGTTAACCCTGGGTTTTCGGTCTCACAAAGCCGGTTCAGTTCTTATCGGGGTAGATCACCATGGTAACTTACTCTGAACGGCTATCCTGCTCCGGAGCAGGGTAAGTTCAGGGTTGAATCTGATCCTATAAAAAGCACCACCCACTGGCCAATCAGCTGTTCGGAAAAAAATGACTCCGCTGACAGAAATGCAGCCCAGTCATGATGGGAAGTTTAATTCATTTGATTGATTTTGATTTGAAAGTTTATTTTGAACATTAAAAAAGAAAAGAAAGCAACAACAACAGACAATGAAAAGATTGTTCAAAAAGGAGTGGAAAGAAGTCAAAATTTCATCTCACCCCTTCATAAGAAAGAAACTGATCATTTGCGGACACTTAATATATTAGTGCCAACATTTTGTTTTGTTGGAGGAAATGATCCCTGTTAAAGATAATGGGCCTAACTGACAGCTTTGCTGCTGGAAATGTGGAAAGTAGCCTATCATGTCTACACTTCATGGTGTTTGAGGGATTTTCCTTTTTGTTTTTTAAAGAGGGAGACTAGGTATATTTTTGCACAGCTGTTAATTTCTAACACAGCTCAATATCAGGATGATTTTATTCAGACTATCAATTTGGTGTTGGTATGATTTAATTGTGGTGTCAGCTTTAAGCTTTATTGTAGCATATATAACGTTATGACAAAGAAGACCAATTTATCAGACGCAATGATGTTAGACGATAATTGTAATACACGCAATTCATCTGCGCAGCATTGATTTCATGGGATTCAAGGATGTGATCAGTGTCAGATGTACAGGTACAGGTACTGTAGCTACTTGAACCAGTGATGAGTAATTTAACCTACACATCATTTTATTTGCTACCTTGTTTTGTCTTGATTTTTCCCTCTCTCCTCCTCTATTTCTTCTTTCCTGACCCGTTTCTTTTTCTTCTCTATCATGTGATTTCATTGATGTTTTGACAGGGGAATTTCTTTGATAAGCTTTTAGTGGCTTCTAACCTCTCCGGTACTTTTCTTTTTTTAATCTTGTAAATTTTATACTGTCTGTTTTTAACATTATGTGCAAATAATCTAAACTAAAAAAACATTATTCATCCTGTTATGCGTTGCCACACGTTTCCTCCTCCTGCAGCTGCCACGGTGTTGGCCTTTTCTGTAATGTTGCTTTTCTTCTCCTCATATTTTAGTAGAATTAATCTCTGATCCTCACGAGAAATACTTTTTTCTCCCTCACATACGGCGCTCTGTGAGGACGCTCAGTGACGCTCAGTGACACTGCGCTTCTCCCATGATTGTGATTGGTCCGCTGCGTGCACGTTCACAGCTCTTGATAAAGCAACCCTGGGTTGAGTTACCGAGTTGATATCCAGCGTCGTGATACCGATTATCCTGATTGCCATTGTTAGGGTTAGTCAACCCAGGATAGGTTTGGGTAACCCAGGAAAGGTTGATCTTGCTTCGTGATACAGGCCCCTGCTGCATGTTTGTCATTAATATCTTCCAGAGGGATGCTGGGAAAAGGTAGACCGACTCTTTTCATTAAACCAAAAATTTGTTGATGATGGCGAGAAACTAAAAGGTTTTCAGATGAGAAACTCTAAGGTTTTTTTAATTTTAAGTTTTTCCTGCACAGTGTCAACAGAACTTCAACACAGCACTTAAAGCTGCAGACAGATCTGGTACCTCTGTGTTAACAGAGTGAGACTTGCCCCACCCGTCTGACATAATTCAAACATAGTTTTAGCTAACTAGCATATGTGTATGGAGAGATGGAATATGGGGAGAAAATGAGGAACCGTACACGATGGTAAACAAAACGTAACAAATTTATGCATATTAGAGTCATGTTACGTCAACAGCTACAAAAATAAATTCTCTGTTACATTATAGGTTATATACAGAAGATTACTTTAACAATTACTTTCATCACACACACACAACTTTTTTCCTTAATTTTCAAGGATTTTACTGATTCCATGATTTTTCCAGGTTTTCCATGACCATGGAAAAACTATTTTCTCTGAAATCAAGTAGAGGTACTCTGCTACATTTATCTGAGAGTCTCAGTTACTGTACATATTAAGATTCTTCCACTTAAGACATATAAAGACTTTTTAAAATATGTTTCAGGGTTTCCCACACATTCATTTAATGAAGCTCAGCGTAAGTTCAATCAGGTAGACCTTTCTGTGCTCATTCATTCACAGTTCCCTCTCTCTCTCACTCCCACTACTTCCTCCAATCAGCTGCCTCCGGAAATGCACTCTTCTAGCTGTCCTTTCGTAATTAGCCACGACCTCCATCAGCCAATCAGGTTGTCACTACGAGATTTTAAATCTGTTCTCTTCTCTGGTGTTTTCAGCTGTCATTCTAAGCAGAATCGCCGCAGACAATTGCTTACCTTACCTTTTCCCTGCAGTCTCTTGTTGATTGTACAGCCTTGTGCGATTCCCCAGTAGCAGCGGAATCATCTCTCATTCATCAAGTCCTCCAGTTCAGGTTATTTCACCTGTTTATAAGCAGTGTTGGGTAAGGGTTACTTTAAAAGTAATCAAAGTATGTTACTGCATTACTTTCTAAAAAAGTAACCACTTACTTTACTGCGTTACTCTCTGAGTAAAGTAACTCAATTACTTTAAAAGTACTTCCAACGTTACTCCCTGAGAAAAGTAACTCAAGCACTTTTAAAGTACTTTTGAGTATTCTACATTTCCTATTGGGCAATGGACCACAGGGCGCTAAGCCTACATTTTTTTGTCTCCAAAATTAAAGTTATGGACCACTTGCCCTTCACTGAGATCCAATTCTCCCATCACAGCCGTCACTTTGACCAGTAGAAACACAGAACGATCTGCTGCCGTAGACAACTGTATGACAACAACACCCCAGCATTTTTAATATTTCCTCTAGGGATGTTACCACACAGAGTAAAAGGGGGAAATGATGGTGTGAAACAGCAGAGGCACTTTGTCAACCCGCTGAGTTAACGTTACTGTCATTAGCATCAAGCTAGCAAACAATGGTACATCCTCACGGTCGGACATAAAGTAATAACATTAACGAATAGCGGCGGGGCTTTTACTCACCACAACTGCAGAGGCTACCAGCTTCATTTGAAACAGACTACATTATAGATGGTCCGTTATTTATTAATCCCTCTGTGTGTTTATATATTTACTTTTTATCCGCTCCCGTTGTCTTTGTAAAGTTAACATATCGCATCGTCATTTCAAACTCAACACTTGTTTCAGATTAAAAGCCCCTTATAACCTCGGCTGAGAGAATCCCTCCATTTTCTAAATAGGCTTTTATTCTGAAACATTTGTCAGAACTTCCTGTGGAACATACAGTAGCTTGATAGTTTACATATGGCGTTTCAAATGTAGCTCCTGCCATCTGCTGACGCTTTTAGATGACCATTTAGCGACTTTTCAGACCCCTCTAGCGACTCTTTTTCAAAAAAGCGACTAGCAACAAATCTAGCGACTTTTTCTGATGTTATTGAAGACTTCAGGAGACTGTTGTGAGAGCACGTATCATTCTTATTCTTCCCAACGAGCAGCGGATGCTGTTGTGGGCTCCTCTCTCGCCCCAAAGCACTCACAGACGGCCCAGTCCTCCCTCCTAGCAGCAGTCAGAGCAGGAGACGTTAACCCCTCCACGTCCAGACTGCAAGTGAATCGCGCATCCGCGGAACCGCCGCTGGCTGATCCCGACCTGGTTTACAGTCAGGGCGGGATGTAAATGTAAAATTTTCTTTGTCTAATATAAATCACTGAAAGAAGGTTCATTTGTAGTTCTAAACATATTCAGGGTGTTTTTTTACTCAGTTTTTGTCTCTCCCACGACGTTATTCCTCTCTCCTACAGCAGCCATTACAATTACATGCATATGGACAATTATGCAAATTAGGTGATGACGTCATTTAGCGACTTCTAGCGACTTTTAGGACAGCCAATAGCTACTTTTCTTACTGAGGAGTTGGCAACAGTGATTAGCTGTGGCTTGCCATCTAACGTTAGCTTACAACAAAGGCTAACCTAACAATCTCACATTCAGTGTTAGTAAGAGACAAACCGTGTTAGGTTATTACCTGTCTTCTGGAACGTAATCGCGTCCATACAAATCTTGTCGAGCAGCACAAATACGATGTATCTGCTGTGTTTGGATGGCAATGAAGCCTCATAGAGCCAGGAGTAACAGCCGCACTAATACGTGGTCTGCCATTGTTGTTGTTGTTGTTCCTTCAAGCTTGGCGCCAGTGGGAAAGCAACGATGTAACTGACGTATACAGTGACGCAATGACGTGGCACCCTAACCACCTCGAGCCGTGGAAAAGCAATTTGGTTTTCAGCTGGTTCGCAAGTAAGCCAACTGAGAACCAGCACCAGCACCAGCACCAGCTCAGCACCAGCACTGGAACTGCTTTGATGGAAAAGGGGTATGTTACCCCTTTTCCACACACTCAGTTTTTTTACTCAGTTTTTGTCTCTCCCACGACGTTATTCCTCTCTCCTACAGCAGCCATTACAATTACATGCATTTGGACAATTATGCAAATTAGGTGATGATGACTTTTAGGACAGCTAGTAGCTACTTTTCTTACTGAGGAGTTGGCAAGAGTGTAGATGACTATAACAACATTTCTGCTGGCACACGAACAGACACAGTTCTGACTCAAATAATAGTCAAAGTAATAAAAACAGGACAAGAATAACCCGATGACATTACACACGCCGTGAAAGACAACCAGGGATAATTGGTGAGTACCAGCGTGTAGCGTGTACCAGGCATAATGCAAGTCCTGAGTCTGAAATATGTCTGTCAGTGAGTCCTACTCCACCTATTTAGACTCCACCGTAGACAACGGCAGCATTTCTCCGACCACGTAGCGAGCCA